TGCCAATCTAGACGCTCTGTTCCGAAAATGCTTTTAACGGAAAACTTTTCCATTAAAAGCATTTCTGGAAAATCATGCCAATCTAGACGCAGCCCCTATGTTTAACTTTGACTTTAATTCTGTGGCAGTGAGCTTGGATTTTTTTCAACAGTTTCAAATTTTAAAATTCGTTTTGTTACGTTAAATGTATAATCAGTATAATATTGATTCTAGTGTTCAATTTAATATTAAAGTGTAATTTTGTTGTCCCATAATTCTTAATTTTCATAGCACACTTTGTATAGAACACAGAACTGTACTGTAGAAGTCGTCAAGGAAAGTGGGTGGCTTTAAAAGGTGACATTTAGGACGCATAGCAGCTTGGACCAGATGGGTGGCACTTTAGGATTAGCTGGAGATTTCTATTAAATCATGGACCTCAACCTAGAGGTTATAAATTGGTAATCTGGAAGTTAAAATGATATTGCATTTCACATATTGCTATATGGGAGGGAGTTGGGATGGGGCAGGAAGTGGTTCCCTCTGGAGATAGTTTGCACTGTTGTGCTAAAAGAATTAGCACTAAAGTATTCAGGGCTCGCCAAACTGCGGCGAGCCCCACTCGCCAGCCAGGTTGTCTGGCGATCTGTGCATGCGCACATTGTTCTGCGCATGCGCAGATCGCCCAAACCCGGCTCTTCCGGGTTACAATCTACTCGCCAAGAGTAGATTTGTATAATTTGTCGAGCCCTGAAAATATTGATAGGCGGGCAACTCCCATGCAGCTGAAGTCCTGAGACTTCCCCCACACACCATTGCAGGGTTGAAGCCCCATGACTCTCCCCAACCCCAAGACAAGAGCCCCAGCAGGAGTGCTTGATTCTCAAACTTCTGAAGATTATCATATACAACTTGGAAGGTCAATAAGTTTGGTTACTCCAAGCTGATGGCCTATTAAGGCCACTCCACTCTTATACAGTCTATTGAAGAAAGTCCTCCCACTCAGTAGGTCTCCCTGTGGACTTCACAGCGAGAAGTCAATGGCCAGCCCCTGTGATTGATTACAATGTACAGGGACATGTGATATGCTTATGTGACCTTGGACTCCATCTTGGGCCAGTAACTTTCCATACATAGGGGCTAATGGCTCCCTATGGTACAATACATTTCCATTTATATAGCAAAGAATATAAAAGATACCTGAGACTATTTTGCTTCTTTTCTGCTCTAATTCTTTGGACTGAATTTATTCAAGGAGCATCTTGAACTACAGACTGAGGACCTTCCAGTCATTTGGAAGTTACCATCTCTACTACAAATTGATATAAGGACTTCACAACCATTTTGAATATATATCAGCTATTAACCATTTATAACTCTGTTCTTTTTTTAATAAACTAGAAGAATTACCCAGCATTGTCCAGATCCAGCATTTGTTTAGTGTGGGAGGGGGTGCGTGCATCCTGCCTGGCAGTTGCTTCCCAGGGTCATCCTGGCGCACTGAGGGCCCACCTGGCTCCATGAGGCTGGCCCAGGGTAGTGGTGACTGCTCCCCATGGGCTGACCTGGGGCAGCGGGGGCTGTGTGCTATGGTGGCCTATGGGCAGCTTAGAGTGGCAGGGGGGACTGCATAGCAGCCGTGTTACCAGATTTGCCCAATACCCTGGGGTATGCTCATTTATCAGGGTTACCCTTATGGGACTGGGGGAAGGTTAACAGTTCTATCAGTGTGCTGTTGGTGCTTACTTGGGCTCTCATATGGAGCTGAATTCTCCCTGCTGCCAATTCCCCCTCCCACTGGAGCTCTCCTGCAGGAACTAGGTTCCTCAGGATGGGGTTCTTCCCACCTTAGCAACACACACAGACACTCACACCCACTAATCAGAGCACGTCTGAGAGGACTGGGTACTCAGCACTCACAAGCTGACCCCCTCATATGTCCCTGGACTCAGCTGGCTGGGTTTCACAGCAATGCCACACTGCACCCTCATGTGCCTTTGGACTCCGTGGGCTGGATTAAACAGCACTTTAAGCTGCCATCCTCATAAGCCCCCAGGTTCAGCACCCCCTATCCCCACTTTCACACCACAGTCATTCACAGGTAAACCACACGATGAGCAAACCCCACAGGATTTTGGGCACTACAGGGATCTTTTGCTTGGGTACAAGAAGCGTTGTTGCAGAGCGAATGGGGAAGCCAAAACAACACCCCTTAAGGAAGAGTGAGCAAAAGAGAAAGAAAGAGAGAGAAGCAACCAGCTTAACAATGAAAGTGATTTATTTCTGAGTAGTGAATAGATATCAAAAAGTTACAATATTAAATCTAACAATTACAATATTAAATCTAAATTGAAACTGATTACAAACGTTAGGTAACCATATAACAGTTTACACAGGGCAGGGTCAGGAGGCTATGCTTAGAGAGATAGTTGAGAGAGAGAGAAAGAGAGAGAGAGAGAAAGAGAGAGACCTCACCACTCCACGGAGCTTGCACTGATCGGGGTTCCCAGATGATGATGGTAGCCGGGGGTCCAGAGGGCAGGAGAAAAGCAGGACAGAGCCCCCAGCACGATCAGACAGGAGATGAAGAAGTCTCAATGGAACTGATGCAGTTTAAGTCCAGGTATCAGAACAGTTTTCTTGGGGCAAGGATAGGAGTTTTATAGAGATAGTTCAAAGAGAAAGAGGAGAGACAATAGAGACTGATCACACCTGGTTATGGGTGATGTTCCTTGAACGAGCTCACAATGCAACTTGGCAGTTTCAGTATTTTAGATGTCAATAGGATAGTTACTAGAATTGGTCTGATAATGACTAATTTGGGTGTGAGCAGGCCTAGGTTCATTAGCATCTGGAGCAGGGATTTCCATCAGGCAGTGCTTCTCTGCTTTCGGTGTCCCATAGTTCAGTGCAGTTCCTGCCTTGGAAGAGCTGCTCTCCATTCTGTATGCTAATGAGATGTCCCTCTGTTCCATCTTTAATGTAAATGAGGCTGGGGTGTTTCCTTAATTGTATCACCCTTGTCTGAAGCAGTTTAGGTGTGTCTTCCCCCGGCCTTTTCTTTGCTTTGTCTTTGATTCTAGCAGAGGCCTGAGGGAGGGGGATGGTTTTCCATGAATGTCACTCCCTGACTCCCCAAGAGCACAAGGCTGACAGGCGACCATGTTCTGGTTCCCCAAGAATCACAGAGCTGGTGAGTAACAGCCGGCAGTTGCTCTTCAGGGCTGGGGTGCTTGCTGCCCTCCAGTGGTCATTCAGAGTATAATTGTCCCTGCTCTCTCACCCCTCCCTTTGTTTCATATGAAACAATTACATTCCACACACATCCCATTGTCCTGCCACAACCAAACCCTGAACTTTTAAAGTTATGATAAAAGGAAACTGCAAACCAAATTTGGTGGTCCTAGCTCTTACTGTTTAGGAGGAGTTCTTGAACAAATGGACTCAGGGATGAATGGACACACAGATAGACACACACACTCGCTAAAATATATAGCAGACCTTGAGTAAATGTACTAAGGTTTGGCTGACACTGCGATATTTGGGTAAGATCTGAGACACATTGACCTGAAAATAAGTGTCTGATCTTTTGGGATTGGTAAGAACCTCATCTATAGTGAAATAGGTTTTTAGTAACTTCTCACTATATTAGACTTGGCTCTCTAGATGGGAGACCAGGGCTGGAGTGCCTAAAGGGAGCTGTGTTTTGCCTTCTGGTTAAGTGTGGCATCAGAAGCTGTTTTATAACATTATATTGTTGAATCTAATTATAGACTAAACCACTAGCTTTGGTGATTGCCTGCCCTATTTCTTGCATCCTGTCCTGAATCTGACACTGAGTGGTTCCACCCAGACATCTGGTCACAGCCACTTGCACATCTAACAGATGCCCAGGTACCCTTGCCCTTCTGAGCTCTGATACTCTGTGTATTCTTCTCATTACTGTCTTTAGCCATCTGTCCATATTTCAGTGTTATATACAAATATACTTATATTGCGACTTGTACAACTGAAAAAAAAATTCCCTAAATTCTGAGCTCAGTTAGAGTGGACAGTTGCTGAGCAACTGAATCCACTCTGTGTAGTGATTGGAAGTGAGGGCTCTGTACATCAGCATCTGTGTGTGTCTGATCTTACTTGTACATCATGAAGTAAGTTAACTACTATATTTTATGTAACAGATGTCCTTAGGCTTTTAAAACTTTGATTAACCTATTAGGAAAATGTAGTAAATAGGATAATGAATCCACCGTTACACAAATGCTTCCACATACCCCAAAGATGTCTGGGGAAGGTACCAAATGGTACCACTGTTTGTTAATCCCAATGTAGATCATCTCTGACATGTATTTGACCTATCTGTTCTTAAAAATATCTAGTGTCTGAAATTCCATAACCTTTTTATGTAATTTATTCCAGTGCTTAACTACTCCGTTAAGACTTTTCCTAATGTCTAACCTAAATTTCCCTTGTTGCAATTTAAGTCCTTATGTCCTCCGCAATTATGCAGAACAATTTATCACCCTCCTCTTTATAACAATCTTTTATGTACTTGAAGACTGGTATGTCCCTCCCAGTTCAGGTGAGTATCTTTTACATTGCTGTTCTTGTTTTATTTTTAAAGGCTTAGATTCTGTTAGTGAATGGCTTTTGTGGCTGCAGAACTATGGAGTATGATGAATAACCCTGGAAACTTAACATGGCGAGTGCCAAACAGAAATCTGAAGGAAACAAGGTTGCTAAAATTTTACTAAATTTCAGACTTTCTGCAGTGGCCAGGAGCAGACGTATAAGGGAGAATGATAGTTTTGGTGAGAGTGTGTGATTGTAGAAATGATGCATCACATTTAAGCTCTCAAACTTATTTTCACAATAGTAATTCTCAGCATCTCTTGCTGAAGCAGAAATTTTTGGTGTGTTTATAGGAATTAGGCTAACAGTAACAAACGGCATATAAAATTTGACAGCACCTCAAATTTAATGTTTCATTTTTATTAACAGTGTTCTGTTTTCTTTTACAGCTGTGTATGATCGAATGCGAGCAGATCAGAAAAAGTTTGGTAAAGCTGCGTGGGCGGCAGCAGTAGAACGTATGGAAAAGCTCCAGTATGCAGTTTCTAAGGAGACTCTGCAGCTGATGAGAGCTAAAGAAATCTGTTTGGAGCAGAAGAAACATGCACTGAAAGAAGAGGTAATTTCTCATATAAATCCATTTACAATTAAAATACTGGAATTTATCATGAACTAATTCTGAATTAAATTTTCTGAAAGATTTTTATATAAGCATTTATAACTATTTACAAAAAATACCATTACCTTCCATTTTTTTTCTGGTACCCTGTGTCCTTGTACTGTTTAATAAGCAAATCTAGCAACTCTTTGAGAAGACATATTTTTTGTGTCCTCATTCAGCTAAATATTTCAGCTATCTTAACATTTCTAGCAATCTTAGTAGAGCAAATAGAATGGGAGCGCGGTTGTGGGTAGGATCAGAAATTTCTTATTGCATCATTTCTCAAACTGGAGTCTGCGAGGCCCACTGATCAACTTCTTGTCCTTTCTTCCATTGCCTCCTGGGGCCCAGGACTAGTGCAGGCTCTGTAACTTCCCTGGTTCTACATGGTTCTCAGAAGTGGCTGCCAGGTCCCTGCAGCGACTCCTCACATAGGGGTGATCAGGGAGGCTCTGTCCCTGCTTGACTGCCACCCAGGGGCAGATGACAGTTTTGCGGGGCCCTGGGCAGTGTAATTCCGCAGGGCCCCCCCTTTGCCACGGCGCATGCGCAGTGACGCCATGTGCATGCGCAGCGGCGCCACGGTGCATGCGCGGAGCTTTTTGAAGCGCTGGGGCCCGGGGCGGCCACCCCGTTCACCCTGCCCTATATCCGCCCCTGCTGCCACCCCAGCAGCTCCTGTTGGCTGGGAACCATGACCAATGGGAGCTGTGGGTTCAGCGTCTGGGAGCATAACGACAACATGCAGAGTCTTTGTGGCTGCTCATGCACCTAGGAGCTGCAGTGACTTGGTAGCTACTTCCAGGCACTTCAGTAAGTGTTGCCAGTACACTACACCCCACTCCTCTACTCTAGCCCAGAGTCACCTTCTGCACCCCAACTCTTTATCCGCAGCCCCAGCCATTGCCTTCACCCCCTTCCTATACCCTAATGCTTTGCCTCAGTAAATGAGGGTGGGAGAGAGGGTATAGAGCAAGTAGGTGGTGGGCCCTCTCTGAAGGGATGGGGCAGGGGAATCATTAAAGAAAAAAATCAAAATTAAGTCCTTCATTTGCTAAAATTTTAGAACTGCTGTCCTAGTGTATAATCTCAATGCGTTATTGTTCCAAAGAAGTTTTGGAGCCCTGAGAGCAGTATTGGCTCTTCGATGGCTCAGTGTACATCAGTATCTGAGATCTGGAAAAAGGTGACAATTCTTTCACCCTCAATCCCCCTCCAAAAAATCCTGAAATAAAAACGAGGCACCCAAAAAACCCTATATATGAGTGGGAGGATGGTAAAGATGGCAACATACTTGGTGAAAGCTGCAGAAGCAAGAAGCTTTTCTTTTATATTTTCATTGTTCTCAATTTTTTATTTATAGCATATAGGACAATGAACTGTGGAAAAAAATTCTTGCTTCTTCAGCTTTTTCATCAAGCATGTTACTCACTTTGTTTTTATGATGTTTGTGGGTCAATTTTCATTATAAATTACTAGAATGCTACTGAATTTCCAGTTTGCTATTACCACGGATACATAAACATGTCTCTTTCTCTTTATAGAAGTATTGAAGCCTATTTTACTAGCCAAAATTATTCGAGAATCATTGAATCATATAAATGATTAGTATGTGCACAATCTTTTAATTTTGATTTCAACACAGCATTTTCCATGTGAATAAATCTCCCTATTTAAAATCATATTGTCAATGTTATCATAAATTAGTAAATAAAAATAAATACATAGCATTGTTTGGATGCTGCTCATATGTTGGAAAGTGTTACAAACTGCTCATTGATATTAAATGCTTATGCTGGCTTATTTTTGGCAAATTCAAAATTTTCTCTGTTTTTGAATGCTTCTTTATTGGATTCTCATTGTTTGCTCTATTCATAAAACTTATGATTGTCTCTGACGCTCACATAGTATAATCATGGTTATTACATGATCATCCAGAACCAGTTTGCTGTTTCTTTACTGTGGTAAAAGTTATAAGGTATGTGACAGGGCATTTTATATTCTTTATAGGAATATATTCATGAATATGACATAACTTGACTATGCTTTTTGCAAGATATTTCATGTGAGAAATCTTGGAAAAGTATTCTTTGAGTGATTACTTGTGACCATTCAATTTAGGTGTGTGCTCGCAGCATGCACCAGTGCAGAAAGATTTTCCTTCAGTAGTATCAGTAGGAGACCAGGTCCCAGCATCCCTTGGAGTGGTGCACACGTCGGACTATATAGGGAGCTTCTGGACCCTTCCTTCTCCAGATCCTTCTTTCCCCCAGTGATGGTACAGTAAACTTCTGATAATCCGGCACCTTTAGGACCCAGGGGGTGCCGGATTATCAGCTATGCCAGACTATCAGAAGGGGGGGGCTATGAGGGCTGTGGGGATGCTTCCCCAGAGCCCCTCATAGCCCTCCCTTCTGATAGTCCGTCTCTGCCCCAAGAGTCCCTGATTCAGCCGCTGCTGGTCAGTTTCAGCAGCGGCCGGATCCG